AACAACGGCTCAGATAAGCTTCACGGTATCAGTTAGATGTACCCATCCGCCATCACCGAGCCGGATGTTGGTAGCTTTGGGAACCAAGATCGTCGGCGCCCGGGGACTCTGTGCCGAGGTTTTGTTTCTGCTCTTACCTGAATTAAACCAGATCAGTCATAGGATAGAGTGCCTGGATAGAGATCATGAGGCGGTGAATTATGCCATGTAGAGCAAGAGTATCAGTTCCAAGGGAGGCAATATACTGTACATTACCTACATGAAGAGAGGAAGGGGGAGGAGCATTGGGTGAGGTAATGCTGAGATTGTACCTATGTACATACCTCTTTAAAAGACCTGAGTATTTGTGGGATTTGTTCCTCTGGAAACGGGTCCTGAAACGATGAGGATAAGTAAAGCCGCCGCTGCATGGCCGATTGTGCCCTGGGAAGCGAACACGCTGATAGCTTCTTCTGTACATGGAATTCACTTCTACTGCACCTGGACCAACGGTTTTCTTCATCCTTCGTATCATTTGGTTCAGGTATAACCGGTCATTTTTCTAATTTGATATTCGGTCTGGGTTTTGATCGTGTCATATTAGTAGAGTATTGTAGAATCGGGCTTCCGTCCCACATCGACAAGTATCTGTCCTGTCTGGTCTTATCTCGCCGAGAAAAAAAAAAAAAGTAATTGCCGAGGTTGGGACATAGATTAGGTTGAGCTTAAGGGGCGTGGCATGATGGATAGACCTAAGGTTCTGTCAATATAAACAATTGTACGGAAAGGAACGACTTTCTATCAGCATGTAATAGTTTGCGTTGAAGCATAGAGTCAAATTTATCTTAGCATGAATGACATGGCGAAGAGGATAGAATTCGATCTGAATCTACTTCCTACTTCGATAATTTACCTGCTATGACTCGCCGCAGAAAGAAGCAAAAGGGACAAGTAATTCTACCATTTGGGTTAAAACTAGGTTAAGTCATCTGTGGCAGAACCAGTGTAAGTTTATTTTAGCATGCATAACATAGCAAATAACTTCCTTCCTACTTCGATACTTTATCTGCCATGATCCGCCCCAGAAAAGAAAAGCGAAAGGAACAAGTAATTCTTCTCATTTGGGTTGAATCTAGGCTAGGTTATCTGCGAGACTTTGCCTATTTGCTATAACCTAGATTAAGTTTCCAGGAAGTTCCTGATTGCCCTGAGACTTCAGGGCCTCTCTCTGCCCCCTAACTTTATTTGTCGTTTCAATTGATGACTGACATACGAGTTGAACAGGTCCCCGATACACTTCCAGAACACATGTCATACCTGTTAGCTGGATCTATAGTTAAAACTTGGATGATCACCTCGGGGCGCGCGGACTTTACCATTAAGATCTATGATGTCTTGAAGTTAATGACAGTGGATTGACTCTTTCTAGAAAAAGGAAAGAAGAACTGACAGACTGAACATGTTCCGGCAAAACCACACCCGATCACATGGAATTCTGTCGGCTCACCCGTACTACTTCCGTAAACTTCAGGAGCCAGAGTCCAATACCACCGCCTCCAGGTAGCATTCAATGTTTCATCTCGGCATATCCACAACTCCACGGAATGAACTCTGTCAGTCTACCCTTTTACTTCCGTGATTTTCAAGAGTCAATATGCCGGGCAGTCAGTGTGTCACCTCGGCATTTCGCAACCCACTCCCCGGTATGATGGGAGGCAGTCATTCCCGATAGAGAAAGACCAATTGAGTTTGTTGTGCCGCGGGTTCCGAGATGTCATCGAGAGTCTTGGCTTGGCGCCTTGGCTTGACATTTGTAATGTAGGTTCTGGGCCTTGTGCATTAGGATGTTGCATAAGGTAGTTATGATAGTGTCTAGGTAGGTAGACTTTCTGGGGAGAGTTCTAGGATGATTTGGTGATGTCAGGGCGTATTGGGCTGCAGTTAAGTTTCAGGTATCTTTTGTGCCTCTATTCTTTGATTGTTAGTCTTTCTTTTCTCCTATCATTGTATTTATCGTGGTTGCACTGTGTGATCGAGTCTTTAATGACTCGACTTGAATCGACTGAGCTGTTGAGAGATGAAAACATGGATTTAAGAAAGCCTCGGTAGATCTATGGTATGCAAGACTCGATTAACACCTTGGCCGAATTTTCCAGGACTAGAACTGATAAATCTTTCCCGATGAAGCAGAAGAGGAAAACAGGGAGACCGAGAGAGAGAGAGAGAGAGAGAACCGACGAGCCGGGGTAAGCATTTCTGTTGTCACAAGTACACGTAACCCAATGATCGAACCGCCAATGAACCACATGATTAGACACGGGATTGACATAGTACTTGAAAATAGGACGATAAGAACAAAATATCATGGGACAAAGGGTTGACGAGTCTCAGGACGCAGATCCGTGATGTCGACCTGGCTTTGATTCCCAGGGTTCGTGTTTCCAGCATCCGGAAGTCCAATTTCTTCATCCACAAGAGAATTAGATGAGTTGTTGACTACCGATTAGCCCTCGTCAAAAGCGTAAATCTTGCGAAAGGAAGACCGTAAACTGACTTTGCTAAGGACACTAGCATATTTGATGCAGGCTATTACTAGAGAGACGATAGAGAGGAGGGTTGCAACCAATCCAAAGCTGAGGGTGCTAATGGCTTCTGGCCCCTAGGGATTTCTAGTCAATGGAACAAAGGTTGGATGGGTTGTGTTTGACATTTTGAGAAGGACTTCCAGCAGGGAGGGTTGACCGAGACGCCAAAAAAGAGCTTTCAGTTTGAATATCGCGCGGATTGGCACTATGGCGACCAGTCAGCCGGGCATGTTAGCTGTGTAAAAGGCGGTATTTGTCGTGAATAGGTCCTTTTGTGGTAGAAAAGGGGATAGCGATGAAATGGCAAATAGGAAGTATAAGACCAGAAGAAAATACACAGAGAACCAAGCAAGGAAGTTACAAGAAAGAGAGAGGGGAACAAAAAGCAAACAAGAAAGCGAGAGGACAGGACAGAGCAGCAACAGGAGAAAGAGCTACATCCAAGGGAAAAATGAAATATAGCCACGGGGCTGCAGGGACACAAGTGTCTACCCGTATTTCTGAAGAGTTAGTTGGTTGTCTTGTTTTGATAGCATGAGCAAGCAATGAGCTGCCTATATATAAAATTGACCATTTATGATTATCCAACCCTGGCAGTGGCATGCAACAGGGGTTTAATCCAATGGGCTGTATACCCTTTTGTGGGCTGTGAATATAGAAAGTCCCGAGGAGTCCAACAGTTCAACAGGTAAATGTTGATATCCAAGGCTCAGAATTCTGGTTAAGCGGCTAAAATCCAGGGAGGTCCATTGGGTTGATAATCCGCAAGGCTCCAATCATCGGTGACTCTCAAGTAACAACATTAAACAACTTGAGTCAAGGGCATTAAAATTCCAAAGAGATGGCCAACAGGGTTTGTCTTCCGTGGTAGATATCAATTTGTCCTAGGATATAACGAAGAAGTCGATTGATTTTCAGTGAATCTTACCAATTACCATTTGAATACTTAATAAAGGACACGAGAAAAGAAGCTCCAAGGTTTTATGAAGTCAGAGGAAAGAAAAAAAATGCAAAGAATTAGAAAAAGCGACGGATAGAAGAGGGTAAACATAAACGATACAATCGGGAAGCAAAAAGCAAAAGACGCAAGAGAATGTAGAACAGTGCAGGAAGCAAGGACCGAGAAAGTTCGTAGAGAAAATGGATCAAAGAGAAAGACAGAAGAAGAGACAAGGCAATGGCAGGAGAGGCGATAAATAGCAAAAAACAAATACCTATGAAGTCGATCAGGGTCTGCGAGATGTGGTGAACGAAATGGCAGATTCCCCCTCCGAATACGTATCACAGAGATATGGCAGAAGAAAGTGTATAGAAAGACAGCTTTTCTAGGATGGAAAGAAATTCTACATTCAGGAAAGAGGTAAGAAGAAAAGAAAGAATCAGAATTAATGGCGAACGACGGTTTTATAGATCAATGATTATCACGTCTTGTTAGTACATCCGTAGGATTTGGTATCTGACCAAGTCGGATTGGGCTGCCACCTTTAGGCTCCTCAAAAATGTGACAGAGAAAGCTGGCTGATTGAGGGTGAAACCACACCCCGGATGCTTGATTTCCTAGTCTTTGAGTGTCATTTGAAAGAAGACAGACAATTACAGACTCCAAGTCAAGAGCTGAGGTCCCTGCATCAGGTTAGATCGAACACGTAGCTTCAAGGTGCACGCGAAGTAGCTCTGACTGGCAACCTCACTGTTGTTTCTTACAGGTTGCAGCCCTTCGCAAGTACCTGTCTAGCTGAAATGCGGAGAGAGCAATCGGCTAAAAATAGTGACATTTCCTGAGTGGGTCATGTCAGCAAGTCCTGAAAAGCCACAAGTGACAAGAGGTGCCTTTGGAGCTAATGGAGGGTGGAGAAACGTGCCTGATCACTCGCCTTCTAATCTTCTAATCCCCATAGCCCAGCCTCTAATCCCCGGTCGGTCGCGGGGTCCGCTGAACACTTGAACGCCCAATCAACCCAAGTCAGATTGCAGCCGCTCCGTCAAGCTCGGAGACACTTGGGCGTCAGAGACGATGGATCTGGCTCCCAGCAGGCATTGCGTGCGAGGCAGTGTAAGAGCCTCCTGATCAACCAAGGAAGGTTTTATGATTGCTGCCTACTGAGGCACGCGGTTCTGTGCGGGTCTAGCCTGATCTAACGAAGTGAAGTCAATGGAGAACTGGCCATGAGTACTGTATTTGTGCGGGCAAAAGAAAGAAAGAACCCAGGAGTCCTGCGGAGAAGAAAAATATCACGTGGCCAACGGCATAGTGATGTGCATAACGTACTTACTCCTCAAGCACTGATCTTATGTTAATTCTAGTGACTGGAGACGAAAACAAAAGAGAGAGAGTGTGGGTGTGAATAGGACTATCTGAAGTGCAGATCAAATTCAACTACCAAAAAGGCGGTCATCACTTTTATCCTCAGTATTCATAAGAGCATTCATTATCGACTAAACTAGTCCTCCTTCAGGGCAAACAGAGAGTTCGTCAATCAAAACAATGCGTCGCGCCCCCCGACCTTCCACCTCACAAGGCTCACAGTCCCCCATCAGCTCGAACTGTTGTCGTCCATCAATTTCTGGGTACCGAAGGCTGACCCCATCTAGTTCCGGTTGCATGGTCTTCGGGGACTGGCCTGCGATTGAAGCATCGAGGGAATTTCTCTGTATTCCCATGACCGCCTTAGGAGGTGGTATATGAATATTAGAGCCTTGGTCTTCGGAGGAACCATCCATGTGTGCACCGAGTCCTGTCCGTCGTGATCTCCTCCGCGAATACTTCCACATCGGTATAGTACAGATCACCAGAACAAGGGGAATGCCGATTCCAAGTCCAACCCCCAGGCCAACCTGCTTTGATTTGTCGTCGGTGTGTGTCGCGCTGTCGGTCTGGCTCGAACCGGCCCGGACGGTGGAGGTGATGCGGACGATCACTGTCATCCTTCAGCTTCTGTTGGAACTCGTGAAATGAGATGGCACAAAATGGCAATACCTAACCTACTATCACAAACACGATCAGACACAGAAGCACCAAGAACTTACCCTGTGTCGCAGAGTCACCACTTCTTCCGGCTGAGCTCTCCGCCGTCTGCGTAACCACTTAGCTCTGTGCAATTTTCTGCCAGAAAATGTCGCTTGGACTGACCGAAGCTAGACATTACAGCATTGGCAGATAATGTGAGTTCTTTTAGGTCGCTCAGATAGATACTGAGAGGTATTGTAATCATGCAACCTGGGCTCCAGCGCCTGGTAGCCTTTAGTTAGGAACTTAGAAAAGTCGGAGTAGATAGACGTTTGACGGGGAATAATCAGTAAGTCGCAGTGGCTACTAAGGTAGCCTGCTGTGGTACTTAGGAGTATACAGAGCTGTGAAAATTTATGATAGGGTAATCTGGAGCAAGTCGGATAACGTAGTACTGCCACTCGAGCCCGAAGAGGATTCATGAAACACAGGGGGAAATTCCAGAATAACCAGAGAAGATATAGGGGAGCCGGTATGTTCCACTATGTAGTAAATAGAAAGTCCCGGCATAAAGTTAATATATGGTCGAAAGTATATCTCCTTGAATTTCGACACCGTGAGCGAATAGTGACAATCCTTCCCGTCCTGAACGAGCACTCGGGATATTATCTATTCACGGATTGCGATGAGAACGAGTCGAAATATTGAGGGTTCTTTTTCATCGTGCTCGCTTTGCCGCAACAAATTCGCTGGCCCATTTCGAAAACATCCCGATAAAACCACCTGATAATGTCTAACTGAATATGGCGAAGCGAACAGATAAGCTCAAACAGGATCCTTCGGAGATGAAAAGCCTCACTACCAGCATCCAGGAGTACGTAGAAGGGCAACTCAATCGCATCATCTCTAACCTGACAGTTAGGGTTTTCCGCTCATCGGCCTTTTAGGACTTGACGATCATTTGCGAAAATGAAGAATTCAAAGTGCACAAAGTGATCATCTCAATGCAGTCTGGTTACTTTGCCCGGATGTTTGGGCATGATTGGAAAGTAAGTTTACTGAGGCATGATGACGAGGTGTGGGCTCCGTGTCTGACAGATTTAATGAGCTAGGAAGTACAAGGTGTCATACGACTTGAGGAAGATGATCCTAGCGCTACACAAGCCATGCTACATTTCATGTACGGATACCAGTATGACAGCCCATACCTCATCAAAGAGAATGAATTCACAATAATATTGCATGTCAAAGCTTATCAGGCCGGAGACAAATACGTCATCCCGAGACTCAAAGAAAAGGCCATGATCAAATTTGCGACAAGTATCATGGAATCGTGGGATGAGGATGAGTTCACTATTGCTATTGCAGATGTTTACTCCACCACACCTCCTGGAGATAGAGGTCTTCGAGATAGTGCTGTTGCCGTTTCCATTGAATATCTTCCGGCCCTGCGGAGAAAACCGTCTTTTCAGAAAGTTCTTAGAGAGACACCTGAGTTCGCGGCGGATTTAGTTCTGAGTCCCAGCAGTTACATCAGTTTGCCCGAATATAAATTCAAGTGTCATGGTTGTGGCGGCACTGAATGTGTTCGGCACTTTATGCGATGTGAGAAGTGTTCACCTAGTGGTCGGCTGAGAGCACCCAAGACCCAGTATTGGAGACTTTGGAGTTGTGCGATACTTTAAAAGATTGACAGGATAATAGGGGACCAGGATCTGAGAATATTTGGATTTTAAAGATGGTTTTTGTCTTAGAGATCGCAGTTTGTTAGCAGTCCACATTCAGAGCTATCTCATGTTTACTTCGCAATGACATAAGTTGAAGTACTCTGAAGGTCCGCAGCCCTATGACGTCACCATACATACTGGGATGTGTCGAACCCAAACTATATACGTCAATGAAGTACGTGATCCCGGAAGGCATTGTCGCCTCAGAATATGATACGTAAGATACTCTCATCATAGACCCGGATGCCTGGAAGATAAGATCTTTTATATATCGTAATCAATAATCGGAAGGCCAGACTAAGCCGAGGTCGCGATTTGAACCCGAGCCTAGTCCTCTTCTAGGGCTTTCGAAAGTCAGGCCCCTGATCTAAGTATGAAACTGACTAGACTGCTTGGGGAGGCCCTATGACTGCGCCTCCCCGGTGGCTCGGAGTCATTCAAGATAGCTGGATTTCTCCATTTCATTCACCATAATAGCCCTCTTCTGCATCGTTATAGCTAGAGTACCCGGTGGCAGTTACCAAAGCGGTTTGCAAAGCTAACATGAACCTGTGATCATCTCATGAGACAATTGACAGCTGCAATGGACCGCCTTCCAACGATCAAGTGCCAATTGGAAGATACTAGCAATGAGCATAGTCTTATGCAGGCTCCACATACCTTTAGGCATCTTTCAGTCCTAGTCAAGAAGGACAATATGTATTGGATGTCAGCTGATGCATGAAAGCGATATCGGAGAACTCCTGTATAAAAACGGGAATACATCAGAAGGATCTAAGAAATATTCGAGTCATTGTTCTCTATTTAGACAAAATAGAGCCTCTTGATACCTACCATGGGGTTTGAAAGGAAACTTCCGTTACCGCCGTCGTTATTCCATTGACAGCTATTAATGAAATGACTATCCCTCTGCTTCAATCCTTTGTGCAAAGCCTCCGAGTTATTTTCTTGTCATACAGCCTACCTATTGTCAGAATGATCCCCCTACTGTATTGCTCAGGGCGTTGCGCCTGCTGCGATGCTCGGCCCAGAAACTCTTATTTCAAATGCCCCAAATGCCACGTTGCCATCTATTGCGATGCGGAGGCAATGGAGAAAGACAAAGGACACCACGAGCCCGAGTGCAAAAATATCTGTCGTACCATGCAGTGGTTCCACAAGACGTTTCAAGGGCAACTGAGAGTGGTGATCCTGGAAGAAATGTGCGACCTTGAACGTGACCGGCTTATGCCCGGATACGATGGAAAAACAATGGAGTATGTGTTTGCGTATTTCTGCAAGAAGCATCTTCCCAGCACCGAGCTGTCTGCTCTCTCACTGCGCAGGAGCCTCTTTTCTTTCAAAGAAATGCTGCGCTTGTTTATGCTGTACCCGAGGATCTACTCACAGATGATACCGTCATACCTCCTCGAGGCGGGTAAAGACGAGGTGTCTTACGATTTCATACGGCAGAGTTCTCGATGGAAGCCGACGAGAAGCATCTCCAAAGTGATCAAATCTGGTCTGGCATATCGTGACCCAAAGGGTAAAGATCCATTTTACGACCAAGACTTCTTCTGTAACGATGTCAGGAATTTCGATGACACGGAATCGTCAATTTTATGGTGCGTCGGAGTGATATTTATCAAGGTGAAAATGTTTCTGGACCTGAAGACGCTGGAGGCTATCACATACACGGTTGGGTACTTGGTCCCTAGAGAGATTCTGATACAAATCAAGTCCCTCGCCGCGACCAATTGGTACGTTAAAAGGAGTCAACATCTGATTGAGATGGATCGCACGACAAAAGCACGTGAGGTGCTCAAGAAGCAGATCAAGACACTGTTTGACCAAGTGAATGGACTTGATTCCAACGTGTGGCCTCATCTGATATTCGACGGCCCACTGCCCTCCAGAGAGAGCAAAACGGGCAATATTATACACGAGGTCGTGCGCAAATTTGCACATCTCTGGGTGGATAATCCCCGAGCTTTGCAGCTTATAGCTGACATTATGCGTGGCCAACCTTCCAAAAACTTCAAGGGGTGTCATGTCAGAACAGGACCTACTACAATCGAGGTTGCCAAGGGCTTTGAAATAGTCTATAAACGAGTTGCCGGTTCAAACGTACCGCATTTCGGATTCGGTGCCAGAAGTTCTGGGCAACCTATGGCAAACTTTTTCTGACTTATCCTTTGCCTGGTAGCTGGAAAGATAAACAGCACAGCCCAGGGTTTTTGTCATGGCTTTATTATACATCTAACTTTGAATAATTCTACTTGCATTTTCTGGCGTTCATTGAGAAGAGAATTTCCTCCCTGTTTGGCTGCATGAACAATGGTATGCTTCCTATTTTGCAGGACCAGGTTATCAAGAGGCGGGCCTCACTGCAAATGTAGATTATGTTTTATTTGCCCTCTTGTTATCCCTTTTCTTCTGTTTTTAATTTGGTTCAGCGTTGATTTTATTGTCTTCCTGCTGTCTGTTTTCTTTTCTTTTCTTTTCTTTTTTTTTCGGCGTTGAACAAAATTTCCCCTATGGCCTCAGAATTGAGGCATAATCAGTATAACACCCAAACAAATATCATTTTGTTTCAATATCAATAGCTTTGGAACTCATCTACCACACGACGACACAGCTCCCCCAACGCACCTGCCAACCACTCAAAATCACCTCTCTCCAAATAAACCTGCCCACTCAACCTGACCCACAACCACGGACCATGAGGAAAGACTGGCACAAACGTGCGATACTCGTCCATCAGTCCACGATGTATGCGTGCTAGAGCCCTCAGCGCCGCTTCTTCGGAGAGAGTAACCCACGGCGCGAGATCGGCGTCGGCACCAGCATTGCTATTCTCATCCGGGGTAGCGATTGCGATAGGCAGCCGCACCGTCGTCATCGCACACTTGCGCATCCGGCTTTCCTCACCCACTTTTAGATCGGGTTCCTGGAGCACGGATGTGCCCAGCGCTCGGGCAACGATTTCGGCGCCTTCGTTGGCAAGCTCGCAGCAGTATGACATGATTGCGTCTTCGCCGCTACAGACCTCGGCTCGGAATTTCAGGGCTGCGGGGACGCACATGTAGGCTGAATCGTCCGTTGTGCCGACGAATTCGAAGAGTTGTTCGAATGGGGTCTGGGTGGAGGGTGCGTTTGCGTCTGAGAGAGTGGAGACGCCTGTCTCGGGGGAGTCGGGGGAGGGGATGAAAGTCCATGAGGTGGGGAGGGTGGTGCGAAGGAAATGTTGGTTGCGTTTGGGGACGTAGAGAACGGCGCAGCTGCGGGGGTTATAGAGCCATCTATAGAATTAGATTAGTGTTCGCTGAGAATAGGTACGGAAATTAAGAGAAAGGTCATACTTGTGGCAATTGGACACGAGAAAATCAGGTTGTAGCTCTTGCATGTCTAATGGAATATGACCGATCCCGTGCGCGCCGTCAATGATGCTCATCATCCCCAGTTCTCGACAAACACCAGTGAAACGCTCGAATGGAAACCTCACGCCGGGGTTACTGACGATAAGGTCGAACACCGCAGCGCGAACGTTTAAGCCTTCGACCTCGCGAGCATGTTGCACGACATCACGGAAGCGACGTTCCAGCTCAACCTCCGAGATTGGATACTGGAAGCGCACCTTGCGCGGTTGGAGGGACGTATGCTCTTGTAGAGAGACGAGACCTTTCTCCACAGCGCCGTATATGGGCTCGAAGTAGATGACTGCATCGCCGGGCTGGAACGCTAGGTTGTAAAGAACGGTAGCGACACCGGTGGTGGCATTCTTCACGAATACGCATTCATCTCGCGGGGCATTTAGAACTTGCGCGACGGCCTCGCGGGACTCCGTAAGATAGTCGGACTGATGTCGCCGAATGTATGGGTCTGGCTGCGCGTCCGCTTTGTCCATGAAGCTGCGCTGAGCATCGCGAACGGCGGCAGGGTGGGCGCCAAAAGAGCCTGAAGTACTAAATTTAGTTCTTTGATGTCATTCCCCTTGACGAAGGGAGTCAGACCATGATTGAGGTTCCTAAATGTTGGATCAAAAAGCCAGTGCTTGAGCATCGGTTTCCCGAAGGGAGTTAGCTGATTGCTCGATGCCATCGCTCCCGAGGGTCGTTATGGTGACAGTACTGCAGTTCGTAGCTACAGGTACCGCTTCACAACTTATAAGTAGTCAGAATATGTGCAAAGCTCAATATAAAACGGATGAATCATAGTGAAAACTGCAAGCGAAGAAATCCGGAGTTCGTCCCCACTTTGTCATCGAAGGGCGTGCAATGATAAGACGAAATGTCAATTTTGACCCACTTGAGGTACCGAGAAAATGACTTCATTGGAATGGAGTCCAATCCACGGGAACCGCCTGAGAAGCTATACTACTCCGCATTATGCTTTGGGCAGTTTGAACGTCTCCTGCCGAAACATAGTCTCGTATTGCTTTTAGCGGGCCTACGATGACTCACAACCACCTCACGGGCCCGACGTTATAAAATCTCATCTTGCGGTAAAATTTGTTGTTATAAATGCCTCGAAGCTGCGATAGAGCCAGAATTATCTTGAAAAAATCACTCCGGTGACCTACTCCAACCAAGGCAAAATATCAGAAACGCCGTTCAATGATTAACCCCTTAGCGGTGGTGACAGTCCCAGTTGGTGTGGCCTTGATACAGGCCCAGAAACAAGCCATCGCCTGAGAATTCAACCTGTTCGAGACCGTGTTCGTGCACGATGTAGAGGACCCGGAAACATCAACCGAACGACGTTTCGACATCTTCACACCCTTGGCAGAGCTCCCCTTCGTCGACCATCCGACCATCGGCACGGCAGTATTCCTTTACCCGCGTGGCGTGCGCACTCTTCATGCAAAGGCAGGCCGGATTAACATTCAACAGTCCCCCGATGGCGCTCTCCAGGCCGCTATCCCGCACAATGTCCGGTTACACGAAAGGCGACTACCCGGATTTGAGAAATCAAGCCCGGTATCGAGATCGCAGTCGCAGCTTGAGACTACCTTCGCGGAGGCAAAGCGGGGAGCCCCGCTCTTCAGCATCGTCAAGGGCATGACGTTTGCGCTTATTGAGATCTCGTCGCTCGAAGTGCTGGGGGGGCGGCCGTGCGTGTTGGCGCTATGCCGGACTTGCCGGTAGACTTGTTGGATGACTCTTGGCGGGAAGGCTGGACTACGCACCGCTACTATTTTTTCCGGCTGGACAGTGAGAAAGTTGGCGGGAGATCTGTTCATAAGATCCGAACGAGAATGGTGAATCAAATAATTGAGGATCCTGCTACGGGGAGTGCGGCTTGTGCTCTGTCGAGCTTTTCGAGCCTGCATGTCTTCCAGGAGACTTCTCTCACCTATGAAATTACTCAGGGGGTTGAGATGGAGCGGGAAAGCAATATGATGATCGACGTGGAGGTTGGTAAAGAGGCTGATGGAATAAGAAAGCTGGAGTCCCTACACCTGGGGGGAAAAGCTGTTCAAGTTATGAGTTGCTTTATCACCAGTCGACCCTAATTCCGTCCAGTTATTGATTATGAGTAATGGAAAGGAAATTCTAGAATCGAGCCTGTTGGCTTTTGAAACAGATGAGAATGGAAAGCAGACATTGCATGAAGGTCATGCCGTGGCTTTCCAACACGTAGTATGTTACATCTCGGCAGCGTTCGCCGCAGAAAATATGATCGACATAAGCTGCGATAAAGGAACATAACATTGGATTATTTCTCGGTATTAAGCCTAGTGGCCCATTTCATTCCTCAATGGTTTCGCTGCAGAAGAGGTCTGGATGCAGAAGGTTCAAGCACGCGCATTAAAGTGTAAGCTTATATAATGCGCAAAGAGATAACTAGATCTAATGCACTTTAATAACAACTAAATCAGTCGCTGATCATTGATCGAAATATATATTATAGCTTTGCATATACTATCTGCCACTCGAATTCAGAATTGAAATCGAGCGTCAAAACCCAGTCAAGGAAGATTAAGTTAGCCAGCTAAGGCAATCCAAAGAAGCCAGCACAAGGTCCACAAAGTGCATCGGAGAATTAAGCAGCTGTCATAAGACCAAATGTTGTTGAATGTTACACTTCCACCAGGTGGCTTGGCCCTTGTGATTTTATTAGCCTTTCGTGCCGTAACGGTCCGAGGGCGCTGGTGGCTCTTGGCTTCCGGGGCACCGATGGACTGTCTGACAGCGTTCTTCAGCGAAGTTGCGTAAAACCTATCAAGAACTGGATAGTCGTGGTGAACAAGGAGTGCGATCTGCCACAAGAAAGTTTATGAGGCTTGATTAGCGTGGGTATAGGGAGAAGCGGCGGATGAGTTAAGAGATGATAAAATTGGCAACATCATTCTTGCTAGAATAATGCGGACTAAAGGAAGTTGCAGGTTTCGGAAGAAGTGCCAGTCTGGTAGGACAGTCACAACATATTCTTTGGGGAGCTGCATGCTACCGTCAACCTTGATGATTTTCACTCGGTTGGGTGTCTGTGTGACCATGGAGGACACTTTCGGAGATTGACATGGTTACAGAAACCTATATAGTTAACATATATTCCTTGAATCATAAATGGGCAAGGTTACATCGACCACCTGGGCTCGCCCTATAACATTCCTCTAGGGTAGAGCGTGATGACAATGTGGGCAGACTGCAACCCTAACTAACAGAGTTTAATACGCCTTTTTTCAGGGGAGACAGTACACACAAAGACCTGCTGATGCGTTTCTCACTAATTTGAGATGTCCGAATGCCAACGCTCGCTTGGGGCCTACCATGTAATTAGCGGGAGGTCTTTATATACTACCCAAGCCATCGCTGTGCTGCGAAAGTCCAGGGAATCCTCAACTAAATTTAACAAACGGTGTCTCGAGTTTACATTCCACCATGGCTAGGTCTACTATAAAGCACAACTTCTTTTTCCACTGGGCCATGTGCATCGCTCTTGTCTTTGCTTTGATTGGGCCCTCGTCACAGCTGAGCACCAAGAAGCGAGAAGATACACCCGAACCAAATGAAGCTGCACCCAAATATGTTGCTGCCCACTTCATGGTACGCAAACTGTTATTGAAACAAATTCCAATTACTTTTCAAATCAATAATTGCAGTGACTAATGTCTTAAGCAGGTCGGAATCGTGGAGAACTACACTGTCGCCGACTATAAAGTTGACATGAAACTCGCCAAGGATGTTGGCATTGATGCTTTCGCCTTGAATTGTGCCAGCATCGACTGGTACACCCCCAAGCAGCTTGCCAACGCTTACGAAGCCGCCTCACAGGTCGACTTTAAAGTCTTTATCTCATTCGACTTTGTGTACTGGAACAACGGCGATACAGCCAAGATCACATCCTACATGCAGAATTACAGCAGCCACCCTGCCCAGCTTCAATACAACGGCGGCGCAGTGGTCAGTACATTTGTCGGGGACTATTTTGATTGGGGCCCTGTGAAGCGAGGAACACAGCACCCGATATTCGCGCTTCCACATCTCCAGGACCCCGCGGTGTTGAAGTCTATTAGTACTTCCCTTGATGGGGCGTTTTCATGGTATGGGTGGCCGACGGACGGTGGAAACAGTATTATCCCTGGACCGATGACCACGATTTGGGATGATAAGTATATTCAAAATTTAGCAGGGAAAGCGTACATGGCTCGTATGTTTGCAGATTTTATTTTTCTTATTTTACGATTCGGTGTACTTCCTGGTTGAATGGGCTGACATATCATGAATAGCGGTCTCCCCTTGGTTTTCGACCCACTTCAACACGAAGAATTGGGTTTTCATCTGCGAGGATCTGATTACCGTTCGATGGGAGCAGATGCTGAAGATGAAACCACAGTTGGTTGAGATCATTTCTTGGAATGGTATGATCCATCGCGAAAGCGCCCCTCATGCATAGACTCAACTAACCGGCTGATCATCCAGACTATGGTGAATCGCATTACATCGGCCCATATTCGCCCCAACACTCTGACGACGGCTCGTCGCAGTGGGCAAAAGGGTTCCCGCACGATGCATGGAGAATCATATCCAAGCCATACATCGCGGCGTACAAATCTGGGGCATCGGCGCCGGAGGTGAAATCAGATCAATTAGTTTACTGGTACAGGCCAACACCGAAGGATGTGAAATGCTCGCGGGACCCCCTTGGTCCGCCTAGAGGTATTGAGATGCTGTCGGATAGTGTTTTTGTGACCACGCTGCTTACGAAGCCGGCCACTTTGACGGTGACGAGCGGTTCTAAGCAGCCTGTGTCCGTTGAAATCGGGGCGGGAATTGTTACCAAGAATTTCACCATGGGTGTCGGTGCTCAGTCGTTCTCGGTGAGTCGGGGAGGGAAGGTTATCTTGGAAGGGAATGGAGGGATCGATATCAAGAACCAATGCGAGTTCTACAACTTTAATGTTTATGTTGGATCCGCGAATGCGACAGGCGTGGGGTTGGAATGATGGCTGTTATGGAGATTGTCTGTTAGGATAAGAAGTACTTTGCTTTTCTTTCCGTTTTCGTTTCTTCACGCTGCGTAGCTGAGCAATAGGCAAGATATATCTCAGTCTCATTTATGCTATGTCGATGGGATATATCTTGGACTCCTCAAATTCTCCGGTACCCCTTCCCGATAATTCCTGTCCATCATACGCTCATCTTCCTCGGCATCACTCTCGACTCGCACCTCCCTAGTACGCCAAATCCCTTGCTGACTATCATTACTCTCCGCATCATACCCATCGCCCTTATGTTGTCTCCCGTCAAGCGGAAGCTCCGATACCGATACAGAATGCTTAGTCCCTGTGTGAGTAAGGTTCGAGGAGAGCTGAAATACGAATTTATATCGGGAGCATGAAGCGCCGGTACCGGTGCCGCTGGTAGTGAATCCTTTGGAACCAAAGACGCGAAGGAAGAAAGGGCGGAGGGTTGGGACGCAAGCTGCAACGATCACGACGTTTTGCTCGATTCTGCAAATAGTGAGTTAGACGCTTCAGAAAATCTCAGGATCGGTGATGAAGGTGTAACCTACAGTCCCCAGATTACTAGTGGGACGACGTTCCAAACTAAAATCACCATGTCAGTTATGCAATCATGGGGTTGCACTGCAGAAAGGATTCCTAGATGGAAGACTTACGCGGATCCACCTTATCGGTGAAAAGATGCAAATACGTCGCCTTGACGATCGTCACGATGGCGGAAAGTAGCGTCAGCCCCATCATGATGCACACGCTCAGTTTCTTCGAGAACCGCATCTGCAGGTTGCAGAACGACTGGATTGGGACGATCGCTAAAATTATGTCCGTCATCGTTGTGTACGCACTGACCCAGTACGAGAAGTCTTCGAATACCGCCGGATCCCAGCATGTACCGTTCATCGAGGGGTTCCATAGTTTCTGAGTTGGTCGGCATTGTAGGAAGACGATAAAGACGGAGACCATAGCAAAGATCACTTGCAATATCGACATGCCGTAGAGTAGCCGCGTACGAAGATCATTCGGATCGAGGAGGTTACTGACGAGGATGGAGATGGAGATATTAGGGAAACTGAATGCGCCTGGGTATGTTAGGAGTAATTGGGACTAGTGGTATGGGATAACTTCTGAATTGGACAAACCGATGTTAAATGCTGCATGAGGGTTAGCTGCATGGGATAGAAATATCGCGAGCTCAGGATACCAAACGAAATCCCATAATCTGCCATTTGGCCATCATCGCCGTCCTTTCCGCGCCATGTTCAGCGATAACTGCTGCGGTTTGTCGGCCAAGGCCAAGTGTGGCCGAGTATGATACGAAGGCCGTGGCAATGATACTGAGAGCCTTGAGAAGAGCATTAGACGTAACCGCGTCAATGAGGTTTCTCGACTTACCAGCGAAAAGAAGATAATAAAATCATCCCAGCCAGCCTTATGCGGGGACCCTCGCGCCATCTATCGGAGGCTGAACCGATTACTTCCTTTGAGGAAATATGAGTGCCAGCGTTCCAACCAAAATTTCCGAAGTCCACAAGAGTTTTGAAGCCACTATATTAACCTAGATCGACCGTCAGTCTCGGTTATCTTCTGTTTTAGGAATCTGCAAGCATTCAAAACCAGTAGCCAGAGGAATAAGCACGGAATAAAAGCCCGGGCGGCGTGAACGCCGGTCTATTTAACACATAGAGAGTTGATTGCTTGACGTTCCATAACATATAGTCACTTTCGGCTTCTAGAAAATTACATAGACTCGCCTCCTCATGCTCTGGACATGGGAGGGATTTCTAAACTGCAGATAAGTCTTAATGAGGTAAACGCTCCTAAGAAGGTGAAATGCCGAGGTTTGCTTTTGAAGAACTATACGACAAGTTTAGAATTGATTAAAGAAGATATGGAGACTGGGTAAGAGAGATGCATAGTATCCAGTATCCAAAGTCTAGGGATTTTCTGGTGTCTAAGCTCTACCAAGCGATTTCCATGCCGATTTGATGGTCGTTTCGGTTCTCCGTTGTCATTTTTCGGGAACCTTTTTTCAGGAATACTAGAAATTATGAGTACGTTGATGAATTTATTGGTACTTTATAAAAGAATCCCAGCTCAGATGCATGATCGTGCATTGGCGATTTGAATTGTTCTTGGCGGAATAGGTATAATATCGGTACTTTGGCATTGATTGTGACTTTCTCTTTTCGCCGAATCAGGGTTTTTGCTACTCAATTCTTTCAAATTCATGAAAGTATAGCTGTACTTATACAGAGACAGGAGTGACATCAAATCGCAGAAGGGATGGTCAGCATGAGATAGGACAAAGTTGAGCCCTCGCAAGTTTCCCAGCCATTTCAGGAGACCATAGTTGACATTCCATTGGCTGTTGAATGCCCGGTGGGTCAATGCCTATCTTTCCCCCGCAACTAAGACACTCGGTGATTGTGTATCTCATGTGGGGTTCGATAAGACTGCCGACACTGCGGTGCAAGGTCGTTCACTAGCTATAACCGCTTACGCTTCCGAATATAAGTGATTCACCCCAGTATCGGCAGTCTCATCTGCTCTGTCCCCTTCAGCAAAATTTGTCTATAATGACCGGATACCGCGTTCGATTCGCCTCGCCAAGCAAAACATACAACAACCACGTTGGGTGCCAGTCGGCTGTCGGGACCGATGTCCAGGATGCTACAGACAAACTACAAGCACGACAAAGGAGTCGATCGGGTTGTCGAGAATGTCGCCAGCGGAGAGTCAAATGCGATGAGACACTTCCTGTCTGTCAACGCTGCCAACGGCGAGCAACGGTTTGCCATCCAAGCATGTTCACCTCTCAGTGGAGGTTCGAAATGCCGTGGCTGGCATGCTCCCCCGTAGAAACTGTGCTCTCTGTCCCCAATCCGGATATCAAGGTTGACGGACGATTGATGCGGTATTGGCTTGATGCGACGAGTCAGATGTTGTCAGTCGACCCCAGCAACAATCCCTTCTCATTCCCGATCCTCAAATATGTCACCGATTCTGCCTCTCTGGTCCACTTCATACAGTCGGCCAGCGCAGCGCACGAAGAATACTTTCATCAGCCTAAGCTGCCAGTCAGTTTGAGTGAGCGGGGGAAAGCATTTTCCGCTTTACGGCAGGAGCTTCAGAACAAAAACAGCTCCTTGTCACATTCATTTCTCACTCTGCTGATGCTCGGCATGTCATCATCGTGGATGTCATTAGGCCCCACGCATTACAGGAGGGAGCATTTGATTGTTGCTCGTGTCGTCGTGGACATGATTCTCCAGAAGGACTATTCGAGGCTAGACGAGCTCGATCACCTCACTATGGGTCTCTATGTCTACTGGGACATGGCCTGTTCCTTTTATATTGATCCTGCGTATCATCCCACCGATCGAGCAGCTCTACTTCAAATGTACATGAAACAAGGTCGCCACAGGTTCCACGCTATCACGACTCACTCGATAGATCTCTATTATCTCCTTGGACAGCTGGGTCGCTACTGCCGAGTAATCGTGGAAGGGGGCGCTCGTGACCTTGTGTTTGAATCATCGGTCGAGGGGAATCTGAACGAATACATATCAATTGAAACCGAACGTTCCGCACAGGCGCTCACCAAAGCCTTCCGAAAACATGATCTTCTACTTCTATCGCTTTTGTGGGAGACCGGGGGGCTCTCCGCCCAGCGATTCTACTACCATGGGAACCGAAAACTATGGACACCAGCTCGCACTCGATATCGTTGAATTGCTTTTGCGCACAAAGTCAGACTCGCTTTATCTAAACATTCAAACCATTCTGTTGTTGAGCGCTGGGGCAGAAATGACATCGCTAGGTACCCCAATACGCAATCAGATCAGAACGAGACTAAATGAGGTGTATTCAACGAATCGCATACTAGAAACCCTATGGGTAATCGATCTATTAGAAGAGCTGTGGGAGATTCACGATGCCGGAATGGAGCATGTTACATGGCTAGAGTTAATGCTGACCAAGAACTGGGGGTTAAGGATCGGCTGAAGATTAGTGTTATCATTGTGGATTTTGTCAGTGTTGGAAATGCTTTATAACAAATTCAACTTTTCATTTGCCTCCATTAAATCGCAAAGAGTCTATCGTGGTATTTTTAGAATATGAATAGAGCTGTATATAATCTTCACACTTTCCCGGGATAAGGGATCAGCTAACCAATTGTGTCAAATCACTTTGTTCGGTTGCAATGGCTTTTATCCATTTTATTTAATCAAAGAAGATCTAGTTCTAACATATTAAGAACACGAACCTCATTTTGTCCTTGTCTTCTGGGCTGTATATATCTTCACCCAAGCCGCTGAGTAGATCTATTCTCAAAGAGGAAATCCTAGTCGCAGCGGGCGCCAAACCCAAAGAGGAAACCCGAGTCCAGCGGGGCCTCAGGCAAGGCAACCCCGGATGATAAGCTCCATTCCCTCTCACCTTCATGGCACTCCTCAACACGCTGCGTATGTCGACCGATAAATCATTTAGGCCAGGAAATATGTACACCGAGGGGCAATTTTCGAGATCACGTACTGGTACGTGCGCCTGACCTAATGTCAGAAACTAGCCCCTACTTAATGCAGATTCAGGTTGTTTACAGTGTCGCCACAAGCACCGGAAGTGCGATGAGAGACAGCCTAGCTGTACCTTCTGTATCACACACGGACAGGAATGCGAGTATCCATCCGCTTTGCGCTGGGTCCAGCGAGAGCAGCCGAAATTGTCGAGGCATAAATCACGCCACCAAAGATCTCCAGAAGAAGGCTGGTCCGGTTCACTAGGCCAGCGCCCTTCAGTCCTGGCCAGTGCTGTCTTCCACTCCGATGATGAAGAATCTGCTTGGGAGTACTGTACGTGTAGAATGTTGACTTTCAGATTGACGGTGCTAATCTACAGTTTTAGATATTCGTCTAGTATCGTCAAATGTTCCGGCTCTAGACGGCCCTGACAATCCCTATCGCCAATTATCCGTCACTGCGCTGTCATCTCCGGTCCTCCGAGAAACCATTCTTTGTATCTCCACGGAACATATGCTAAACTTTGGATTAGGCAGTGTTTCCGTAGCTGCCGAGCGTCAGCGACAAATGCTGCGCTCTATTGCTCAGGGTCTCCGGACCCTGGACAACCGCACAAACATCAACTTGGAGGGTAGTGTATTGAGTGTTGAGAATTACGAGTCACTTCTTGCTGCCATCATACTTCAGGGTGTCGTCGTTGCCCAGACGGCGGATGGGGCAGTTGAACCCCATGTGAAATGCGCAGCCTTCCTTATCCAAGCCCTTAGTCTCTTCCGACAATGGCCTCGGACTCCGTTGGTACGCATGAGTATTCAACGTTTTGCAATGGTTGATGTAATGCTTGCCATATCGCGCCAGCGTCGACCATTTGCTCCGAGAGATTTCATTCTCTACCAGCCGGATGAGAGCCGGTGGGACCAGACGGAGCCATCATTTCTGAAAATGACGGGCTGTCCTCAACCGTTGATGTGTCTTCTAGTCCAACTTTCGCATCTTGCATGCGATGTTGACCACCGTCTGGAGAACGGAAAACCTATATCGGATCTCCTGGCTGAAGGATTTAAGCTAGAGACTGAGATTCGCGTTTTGGGCTCCCAATACGATGACCCTACCGCAGACCGTTCGAAATGGTCGCATCTTGAAATTCTTGCGGAATGCTTCTACTGGACTGCACACATTCTACTCGCTCGTCGTATCTTTCGGGATGAAACGCGCTCAGTACGCGTTCAGCATCTTGCATGGACTTGCTTTCGATTAATGGATCTTTTACCTACAGGATGTGGACCTGACTCTTCCTTACCGCAACCATTTTATCTAGCTGCACGAGAGGCTGTCACAGAAGAGGACCGCAGCTGGGTCCGCCACAAACATGAAGCTATGGTTGGATATTATCGAGAATTGCAACGGAATGCAGCGATGCACTTGACGGAAACCATTTGGGCCGAGGACGATAGGCTAAAACGTCTTGAAAGAAAAGACACGCAGTGCCTTCATGACAGATTCATCAGGCAGCTCGACAGAAACTCGTGTTTATTCATCTTTTGAATATCATTTCACGTGGCTCCCATTGTAACCAACTCCAGCAAAACATCACTCCTTCTGCGCATCATAAAACGCCCGTCTAAATGTCTTCCGAGTTCCGACCATATCCGTCATCACACTGACCATCTGAAATCCTTTATTCATATACTCTCTTCCCTCTTCCCTCGTGTCACAATAAATACCACATAGTTTTCCAGCAGCCCTTGCATCCTCATGAACACTCTGAATTGCATCAAGAAGTTCTTGATCATACACGCCCGAGTCACTAATCGGGTGCCCGATATTCATTCCAAGATCGAAAGGTCCGATGAACAGCACATCTATTCCAGGAAGAGCGGCAATTTCCTTGACTTTCTCCAGGGCACCCTGCGTCTCAATTTGAACAGCAATCACAAGAGAACTATCCGCTTGCTGCAAATACTCTGTCCCTGTCAGCTGTTTCACCGTGCCGTGTGGGTGCTGGTCGACGAATTTCTCCACGGCGAGTAAAGGTTCAAACGCTGGGGCCAGATACATCAAGTCCAGTTTGACGCAGAGAAAACAGAGGCAGTTCTCTTCACCCGAAAACGAGGCCAGGAACTCAAGGCCCAGACTCAGCGAGCCCGCGTAGTGATCGAGGGGCACCAGGTCTCATTCAACCAAGAAGCTACCCGGTGTCTAGGTTTATGGCTGGACGCAGGCCTTAATCTAAAAGTCCACCACAGTACGTGCCTACGGAAGGCCCGCACAACGGAAACCTGGGTGCGGTCTCTGTGTCGCAGACAGTGCTTACCTCTAGGCCTAGTACGCAGGATCCAGGTAGCCGCTGTGCAGTCAGTAAAATCCCAAGGAGAGCAAGCACGCTCAAAAGCCCTGCGCGAGAAGGCGGTATGGGGCGAGGAAAAGGAACAGAATGTAATTAAAACGAGGGGATAGCCCTAGGAACTGATAGGGGCCTGAGGCCTAGCCTCAGGCCGACGACACACGGTCTGTCATAGCCCCAGGGGCTCGATATGGACAATAAACCTGATTAAATAATAATAATAAAGGTTAAAACCCGCGCTTTCCCATAGGAGGGAATTTCGAATGTTGGACCACTTTCTTCGCATCTTCAACTGTTTCAATGACAGGTACCAAGATAACATGTGCGCCACTGTCCAGCGCTCGTTTGATCATCCAGCGTTCTCCCTCCATGACACGGACAATTGGTGAGACCCCGCAGGCGGCGGCGGCAGCGACAATATCGTGCATTAAATCGTCGGAGATGTTCCCGTGCTCTAAGTCGATTAGGAGCCAGTCAATATTGGGAGCTGATCTGCATATTTCTCTGGTCAGATTCGTGCCGGGAAGCATTTGCCATGCTCCGAAAGCTGGGCTCCCTGCTTTGAGGGCTCTTTGGAGGTGGTTTGCGGCTTGCATCGTTGGAATGTAATTGTTCCAAATGAATGATGGAGCGCGAATGTTCAGTTCTATGCAATCTCATATGGGCTCTATTTGTGATTTTATCCTGTAGGTGACGTATAGAGTATTATGCATGCTCGACTATTCCCGGGCATCCGATGCGAGCCTCCGCTTCTGCAGTGATAGCGATAGGTTTGATATCCGAGGATCGACATCCGGTGACTACGACCAGGTATATCGGATGAAGAAACCGACATGAGCCCGGTTTCTCGGATAGACGCATCCATCCAAATGTTTTAAGTAACATTGCAAATTAATTAGGGTAATTGCTCGATTCTTCTACCCCGCTTCCAAGACTACCAGTTTGATGTTGGAAATCCGGGGTATTGCAATAATCTAGAAGAGTCAGTAACCATATTTTCTGATTTAATAAACATCTTGGGTATATCGTTCCGAAATATGACATATTTTAGTTTTCCGGCTTAGAAGTCGACTAGATAACGCGAGTCCTGTCTTTCCTTGGTCCATTTATATAAATATAGGGGTGTTCCCTTTGCCTTCGTACAGTGATTTGCTTCAACAAAGCATATGATCTATCATAATTTTTATTTCAATTAACAATGCAGCTTAAAGAAAAGCAACAGAACCATGACATCACAGAACCCGATCCCGATGTCCCAGATACCCAAGTTGCCTCAAAGGAAGACATTATTCCGATCACCAGCGGTGAACTCCATCGACGTCTTAACTACCGGCAAGTCCAGATTATGGCCTTGGGTGGCTCTATTGGCACTGCTCTTTTCGTCAATATCGGGGGTCCTTTGGCGAAGGGCGGGCCCCTAAGTCTGCTGATTAGTTTTATTCTATATTCCGCCATCTTGGCCTGCGTCAACAATTGCATTGCGGAAATGTCGGTTCTGCATCCGACACCAGGGGGCTTCATACGGATGGCCGGTAAATTTGTTGACGATGCCTTCGGGTTTATGGCAGGGTGGAATTACTTCATCTTCGAAGCCCTCACTGTCCCATTTGAGATCACCGCCTTGATGATGACACTGTCTTTCTGGAGGGACGACACCCCAGCAGGTATCGTGTGCGGTGTATGCATCGCTCTGTATTCGTATGATCTTTCTCCAACAAGTCACCTCTGCAACATCTTTCCTTCGTCTGAAATATGGTCAGAGATAAGCCATTACTTCTAGTATATTGGATATTTTTGCCGTGAGGGTGTACGGCGAAATCGAATTATGGGGTTCCAGTGGCAAAGTACTGCTTATATCCATCCTCTTCACAGTTACATTCGTTGTAATGGTGGATGGGAACCCTCAATATGATGCCTTCGGCTTTCGATACTGGAATAACCCTGGCCCTATGGCTGAATACTTGAGCTCTGGAAGCCTAGGTCGCTTTGAAGGTTTTCTCGGCTCTCTGTGGATGGCCAGTTTCACGATTGTCGGCCCGGACTACGTTACCATGATAGCTGCTGAGACACAACACCCAAGAACCTATGTCAAAAAGGCTTTCCAAATGCTTTATTGGCGGTTCGGTATCTTCTTCGTTCTGGCTGCTGTGAGCGTCGGTATCCTTCTTCCCTACAATGACCCAACCCTTATCGCGACATTTATCACAGACGCCAGCTCCGGCACTAAGGCTGCAGGATCCCCATTCATTATTGCCATGGGGAATATGCAAATCTCTATTCTCCCTGACTTGATGAACGCCCTTCTAGTAACGACCATTTTCTCGGTTGGGAACAGCTACTTGTTCTGTGCCAGTCGAAGCTTATACGCCTTATCACTTGAAGGCAGGGCCCCTCGAGTCTTGCAGAAATATACAAAACAGGGAGTGCCTATATATTGCGTACTAGTTGTGATATGCTTTCCCCTTTGTCTCTATTGCAGCTCGGTAACGGATCATCGCAAGCGCTAACATGGCTCACGAATATTCTGACTACCGGAGGACTGATCATCTATTTCGTCATGGCAGTGACTAATCTGTTTTTCCACCGCGCTTGTCAGGCGCAAGGAGTCGACCGCACCACCTTCCCTTGCTATGGACGATTTCAACCGTACAGTACGTGGGTTGTAGTTATCGACGAGGGACTCATCATTTTATGCTACGGCTATGCCAGCTTCTACCCTTGGGATATCAGCACCTTTTTTACACATTATACCTTGGTCATTCTCGCGCCTATCTTATTCTTCTTTTGGAATTGTGTCAAAAGGACAGAAATTATTCGCCCTCAAGAAGCAGACTTGATTTGGGAACGACCTATTGTCGATAGTTATGAGGCGACGATGCTTCCCAAACCTCGCGGATTCTGGGCGGAGACACTTCAATAGGTTGGACTGAGAAGGACAAAGGAATAGGCATATTAAATCGGATAGCGGGGAGGTATTCATGAAAATGTTGGATGGGATAAATGGACCTGTTAGCTTTTCCTCAGTGTATTGGGGTACAATGGTTAACTCATTGCTCAAGTATATAACACATTCTATCCTGTATTTCTTTTTTCAATCAATGAAAAATGCACTATCCAAATGCCCTTTCAATCAAAAGAAGAAAGGAAACAGATAAAAACAGCACCATCGTTTATGGAAAGTCGTGTCGGATTCATCGAACACACCTGGCCTTTCTCGAGCATTGTTATTCAGTACAGACATTTTATTCAAATTCTTGGGTGTTCTTCTTTGATTGATTTCATAGGACATTTCATCTTGTCATGTCATAATAAAGCCGACGTATAGGAATGTACTACGCGGTAACCTGGACCTAACTAGTTGATTTGCGTGGGTCATCTCTTTACATATCACGCAATCTACGTACGATATTGTTCGCGAGTCAAAACAGTCCTCAGAAAGCTCCATACTATTGGTTCAAACCTGTAGTTTGGAACCTACTTGTACTTTTTTAGATACAAGCTGCCTTCTTCATACAACATCTAGGGGCCGGTTGCTATGATGTGGCATTCTCGGATCCTCTTCCCGACGACCATTGAGTAGCTTCCGAGATCCGAGACAAGAACAACATGCAAAATAATGAACGTCACTGGTCACAACCATTCTATGAGACAGTTATCAGATATCATTTAACTATCTTTGGACTATCACAAGGGTGGCTTCATGCTGTTTGCCATCTCGGAGCAGGTACGTACATAATACACTAGGCTGCTGCTTCCGAGATACGACAGCTGGGAGAACATACGTACTTTCTTCCTGGGAAAGTTAACCACAAAGGGTTCGCGCTGAATATTTCTGACTCGTCATTCTGCTATTACAGGGGCTGTAATCATTCGTCCGTCGGGACGAGGATTCATCCTATCGATTGCCACCAAGTGTTCCGAGCATGAATGCAGTATGTGGCAAGGCTTTTACGTCTCATGGCGGTTTTCGGGATACCAGAGAGCCCCTAAAATCAACTGAGTGTAGGACATTCTAACTCTCTGTAGTTGTATTGTTGGTTTCATTCTGCAATACAATCCCTTTTTTGGAATGACTATCCAGATTAGAGCCCTGATGCCCTGAGATCATGTCGCAGAGACAGGCATCGGGCGGACACCGGGAAGAGATTTCTCAGACCCCGAGCTGAGTGTGTGTCGCGTGCTAGCGTAACAGAACCCTCGTAAGCTTTGGTGTGATGGCAGTCCCCGAAACACGCTATCAGCTGCGTTTTCCTGGACTCCCGAATGGAAATCATCAGGATATTTGGCTGGAATAGAGACAGGCAGCAAAGGGGCCAGGCATTCCAAGGCGTTTGACAGTCGGGTCCTTCCCGAGCAAGAGCACTCCGGATTCACGAACTTGGGTCATCAGTTGACCTTGTATAAGTAAGGGGTTTGGATAACCAACCTAAATACTGTCTTTCGCCTCCAGCTTCAACAGTTTCTGAACAATACTTTCACCCTTCTTCACATCATCACAGTTGAACATGGCCCCCTTCGCACTCATCCCACACGTGCCTCCAACGGTGGTAGGCCCTACCACTAAGAAGGCTACTCGTCCAACCCGGATTCTCCCAAGGTCCCTAATTGAGGGGGCCAAGGTAGAGAAGAAGGTGCCCTTTGACCCCGATACGCACCTGGTCTACCAGCCTCCAGAGAAGATCCACCTTATGAAAGAATTGGGTCTTGAAGGCGCTGGCATCTCTCCTAATGCCATCTCCGAGCCCTTCCCACTCTTCTCGGAGGAGGCAATCAGACAGATGAGGGCTGAGATCTTCAGCGAACCGGTCCTGGCTGATTGTCAGTTTGCCTCGACGTTCTGCACCAACATGGTTCGCGGGATGGGACATAAGTGAGTTGATCAATTTCCTATGTCGGTAAAGTTTATTAATGATTTTCGATTAGACGTGCCCCCTTTGTTTGCGATACTTGGAAATCACCCAGAGTTCTGTCCAAGGTCTCCGAGGTCGCTGGGATCGATCTCATTCTCGCATGGGAGTATGAGATTGCCAACATCAATATCGCCGTCAAGGATGACGATGAAGTTGATGGACCTGTCGACGTAAGAAAGACTGGAAAAGACGATAACATAGCCGCATTTGGGTGGCATTATGATAGCTTCCCATTTGTTTGCGTGACGATGCTTTCCGACTGCACGAACATGATTGGCGGTGAAACAGCAATCCAGTTGCCTTCTGGTGATATCAAAAAGGTCCGCGGTCCGGCAATGGTATGTTTCTTCCCCGGTAAATAGTGAGCCTGTCTAATAGGAACTGCGCTAATTCCAATAGGGCTACGCGGTGGTCATGCAAGGCCGATATCTTCACCACCAAGCACTCAAAGCTATCGGTGGTCGGGAACGTATCTCCATGGTCACCCCTTTCCGACCTAAGGATCCGCTTGTCCGAGATGAGATTCTTCTCGTCGGAGTCCGTGGTATTAGTAACCTTGCCGAGTTGTACCCTCAGTACTACGATTACCGGCTCGAGGTACTTGAGGAGCGCATGAGAGCTCGAAGGAAGGCTGAGCGCGCGAGAGAGTTGGCTTACCGTCCGTTCAATCTTGCGGAGGAGAGGGCATGGATCCGTGATCAGAGAGACTATCTGGATTCAATGTTGAATGAGATGTTTGAAGTTGAGTAGCTCAGCCGGATTACGAGTATAATTCTTTTATTAGCGTGCGGTTACGATTTTCTCTCCAATATTTTGCTATTCTTTCCTTCTGCCTATCGTTCAAGTCTGTTTTTTTTTTAATGTCTAACCAAATTGAGATATTTCTTTTTTAATCCATATTTCCTTGTTCGCCCATATACATCAAAGACATTTTGAGAGGCCGAACGGAGACGACCGCTTGCATATCGTGTTTATAATCCCAGTTTCCAGCATATATGTATTCTCACTCAACCTGGTCCTTTGGGAGATGAGATTATCATTGGCTTAAATTCAATACTGAGATTGATGTAAATACCACTACAGGCTAGTTAAATGTAGCCTAGCTGGCGTGCATCATGATCACCTACATCCCGAAGCATATCTATGATCTGGGGTAACGAGGTTGTCGGAAGGGGATCCCGAGATGCAGGAGACCCGAGCCGACCCGAGCGCTAATTTGGGAAGGATCTACGGATCTACCTACTCTTCTGCATCTTGTGTCTTAATTTGGTAGACTAAAATGGAAAGGTAGGCAATATCTCTGGTCATACTCGTATTTTGAAGCGGTTATCGCGTTATACCCACCATCATGTCTTCATTAAACAATTAGTAGAATTGCTGCATAGTATAGGTAGTTGAGTATACCGGTCCGCTGTCACAACGATCGCGTAGCCAGAAGGTGTGCTATGGTGGCGAGCGGACGGTGTCTTGAGATTATGCAAGTAAAGAAGGATCATCATTTCAGATATTCTCTTCAATTTATATTTATTCCGCATTTCTTTACTCCGGTGTTCGAGTCTTCCGTGCTTGCTGTCTTTCAAACCTCAAAACTAACATCTCAACAAGTATACAATATTGCAGGGCCGCCCTGTGTGAAGAAACGCGGTTCAGTTACAGATGGAACAAGCCCCCTTAGTCCAATTTTCAATAAAACTTCTACCTTTTGACATTCTCAAACCATTTCCAAGCTAGAGGGTAATAAAGACCTGCCCATCAGTGCTCTGATGATGAGCTCCCCGAATGCGGGCAAGTCACTAATCAATAAATCATCGATGTCCTGTCCACTTACCTCCATTCAAAATTGCCAGTACAATACGTTTGACACATTTGAATAAACCACAGGACGTCGTTCTCAGTATAGCCATTGGCCTTTGCCTCCTCCACAAGCTCTTCTGCGGCCTTCTCGAAGGCTTCGACGCGCTCTTCGATTGATTTTACCGCGCCAAGTAGGGCATTTTGTAAGCTACTGCCTGCGTTATAAGCGATGGGAATATAGTTATGCAGACAGTCACTCTTCTGCCAATAATGTCAGTAATTGACACTTACATATCCATTCATAGCTCACCAATTCCTTTCTGAATGACGCAATGTCATTGACACTGTAAGAGAGAATCTTTAGTGCACTGACAGGGAGATCCAACCTGAGCCATATCTTACAGGAATATTATTGCAATCGTTTGTTCCCGGATAGTCTTCATTGCTGGCATGTCCTTAAGAACCTCAGGGATCCTTCTGTTCACGCTAAACCTGCACAAGAGTAAGAAATACACCAAATGAAGTGTAAGTTGTGGCCAGCATACTCGGTAATTGCGTAGACCAGGCCTATCGCGCTAGAGTCCAGCCTAAGCTTGATATATTCTTCCGGCGAGGGCAAAATACCGCTGTCTTTAAGTCGCTGCTCCTTTCCAATGGCTTGTATATAAGAGATAAACTCTTTGAATAAAGCATCTCTTTGCTCTGGTATCGGTTTAGCTGAGCAAATCTCCAAATTAACTGTCTGGGACCCACCTGGAGCATAGTTTTGGCAGAGAGCATCACCAAATATATGGAAGCTGTGTGTGATAGGATTACTCGGGGTCATCTTCTCCGAGTATCTGGGGATCTGGAGACATTGACTGACCCAAGAGATGCTTTCTCGTAAGACTTTATTTGAATCGTTTGACTCGTTGGATAACGATCCATAATTTGAATCGAATTGATCATCCCATAAGAATAACCAAGCCAATAGCCACAAGCAAATACAAAGCTCTGGTAGCTCTATGTTCGGCCACCATGCTGCGCCACATAATTCAATTTTATAGGATCTGACGCGAGATAACGTTGCTTCGTCATTCGGGAAGAGGCTAAGTGGAATAAAGTCAGTGAATCAGAGCGAAGCTATTCCGTTCTATAGCTTATCATAGGCTTCGTCCAGAAATGTTGCTACCTGCTCGTGGTGTGGATTTATGCCATGAGGCCAATTCTGGAAGATATAACGTAGATTGGGGACTCTAACAGTAGCGCCTTTAATTTTTCTCATAATGGAATCTGAAAATTCGCTTTCTCGATGCATTTTTGGGCGATCCTGATAGATTACAAGCAAAAGAGCAAAGATTGAGTACCCTTTGCTCCAACTTTAAGTGGCTTTTAGGAATTTCGTGAGCCTTATATACCGCCGGGTCCGGCACTACTACGCACCTTTTTTTCTGATTTCATTAGGATTACTAGGGCTAGTAGAGTATTCCAAAAGCTTCTCTCTACCGTCATTTTGGTTATTACATCACGAAATCCCTTTCACTGTCCTGCCTGACTTGTACTTTGAAACTACCGGGTCTGATATCGTGCAGGCGAGAATATCTTTACTCCTTCCTATTCTCTGGAAAAGCTTAAGGCGACTCAAATCCCCGATGTGAGTTTACCGAACGATAGAAACTTGGTCCTCAATATACTTGAACAATGAATCGTTTTTTCACTAGATTAGAGGAGCTTTTCTTAATCGTCTTTTAAGGTTTGTTTGTTTGGTGTCCTGCATGGCCGAAGTTAAATCTAACCTCAATTCCCTTTCCGAGCAAGGAAGACAATATGACGAGCAAGGCAAAACGGAAGTTAATTTTGAATAGTGTTATAACCTAATGAGGTATTTATACGCCATGCATGGCTGTAGGGACCTGGATCTTCTACGCAGCTCTCTTTCGTCATTCTATATTGGTTTCGTATTGTGGAAAGGGGAGCATGATAACCAATTGATGAATCGTACGCACAACATTAATCACAAAAAGCAAGATGCTATAACCTGTTTAAGTAACCTATTTCCGAATGGCGGCCCACCCTAACCTAATTCCTGAATTAATATCCTCACCAAACTCGAGGTCCTCGATGATAACCTGTAAATCCCAGCTAGTATGAGTTTCTTCTCCAGCCTGCTTCCATAGCCCAGATAGGGTCTCCGGGCTATGCAGAAACATTTCACGAAAAGATGGGGGCGCCTTGTCCCAAGTCATCCCTGAAGGACTTCCAACGTGGACACCCAGGATGATCGCTCCATTCTCGTGAGCGAGTAACCGAATCATCCGTTTGGCAACACAAAGTTGTGTGTCCTAGCTGAACAGATGCATAAAAAAAACCGGAATTTATTATCTTCAATCGTCCCGCGAGTCGTTCAATTTCAGGCGTATCCTTGAAAAAATCTGGGATAAGGAATATTGCAACAAGTCTTGATCTATCTTGGAACATTTCATATCCGAGGTCGACATATTCCGGGGTAATATCGAATCCATAAAGATTTTCTGAAGACAAACCATCGTGCACTAGGCGCCGCATGTCTTGCCCAAGGCCGCATCCTAGATCAAGAAATAAGCCTCCCGCTTGGATCAGTCCGACAACAGTCCAATATACAGCTGAGCGAGATAAGTCTAATTCAAGAAAAAGGAACTTTTCGAAACAGGGATATCGATGAGCATCCCAGCCTCATTTTCTCTTTGCTGATGTTAGTCAATAAATTGGAAGGTCAAGCAACGGGAAGGTGTGCTAACTATAGACTTGACATGTTTCTCCATACTCCCTCGGTCTATTTTGGCGTGCCTAATCAGGAGATCTCCAGCTTCTCCGGATAAGACATCTGATATATTAGTCTGTTCATCCCATGAGCGGAACCAGACGTTCGAGTTGACCATCGTGATAGAATCGGTAACAAATGAGAATGGCACACTGGGTAGACACGGTTCTTCGGGTGACAGGTAGCCCAGATGAGGCCTATTCAATTATTCAAGTAAAGATGAGATGGGTTGATGGAGGATTACTCTGGTATTTAAGCGCCTGGAACACCCGCAATCAAGGAAAACCCTTTTGACACCAAGCACTTTCAACCGGGCGCACCAAGCTTTCTGTCATTGGCCTACTTGGGATACTTTCAGATTATTAGAAAGAACATATCACTCCACGTTTCGTGTAACATATTGCCCAAGGTATGCTGAATCCAATCCTGACTTGTCCACATAATTGTAAAATAACCTCCACATCACGCACGTGAATCAATCGCCTACCTATAAAGGCTATTGTCGGTTGACTTGGTCATTGCCCTAAGCAGATATCCTATCGATTCAACTGAATGTAGGTATATGCTCGGTGGG